TTTTCTGTGTGTTGAATTACCGAACTACGCGCTTTTCGATTACGTGTTTTTTTTCCGTGTGTACTACCGATAGTGGTTGGTGATGGGTGGGGGGGTGGTGTTGAGTCGATGGGGGGGACTAGTCCCCGTCGACTCCCCCGCCGTTTCCCGACGTGGTCGGTTTGTGTGGGCACTTACTGTTCCAGTGCCCCACAATACCTGCACGGCCCCGGTGGGTGGTCATCTGTTGTTTTTTTTAAAAATTTTTTTTTGACCGGGGCGGCTGTTTGTGGGGTATCCGCCCCTTTTTTGGGATTAGGGGCCCATTGTTGGGGGGTCGGTTTGGTGCTGTCCGTTACCGGGTCCAAAACGCCTGCGATGCGTCGTAGCTCGTTGAACGTCAATGGCCGTTGTAAACGGATGTGTGTTCGGAAAGTGTCGCGCGTTAATCCTGCTATATACCTACCAATTCCGACTCGGATAGGCCGGTATTTACGCGGCGCGCTTGCTGGTTTTTAACTAACACAAATTCCGTTAGCGATTGTCTAGACGTTTGTCGTGTTGACACGATGTCGGCGCGCAGTTGGGATTGGATTTCGGAATTGTTGTAATTTTCTAAAAACTCAACCCTAAATTCTTCCCAGGATAGGTCGAGTATTTTTATGGACGCGTACTATACACTCGCCGTTCCTTTTAACTGCGGCTCGACCGCCCTGCACCAACCCGAGGGGTGTATACGAGCTTGCACCAAAATCGACTCGGTATTATTAATGTACCGTACGGGGTCCTCGGCCCTTGTTCCTGTGAACTCGGGTAACGAAGCTCTTGCTGTGCGCAAGTCGTCGTACGGTATTAGTACCGAGCGTTCATGCGCGCGTGCTTCGTACGGCGCGTATTGTGACGCGCGTGTGGTGTGACCCGTATAGTCATTCGTTTCGCGCGCGAAGAACGGTCGGTTGTTCGCGTCGGCAATGTGGCTGGCGCTGTGTTGAGCGCCGCCGTCATTGAGCTCATATGACCTACCCGACTGGTGACTATCGTGTGTACGATTTGGTATCTGTACGGGTGACGGGTGGTTATCTAACCGCGGGGCTGCTACACTGTTTGGCGGTTGGGTGGTTGCCTGGCGCGATTCTGTGAAGAACCGCGTCATGCTCGCTTCCAACGCCCCTAAACGTGCCTCGAACGATGTTGAGTCGTTCGTTTGTGGCAACATTAATTTTAACTGATGCAGTTGTTTCGCCGCGGTTTCGAAAATGTCGGTTGTTAAAGGTTGTGCGGACTGGCCCTGCTGCATGGTCGACTGGAAGCCACCGATTTCTGGCCGGTTGTCTGTGGGTTTTTGACTTGCTGTTGGGCTTGTCAAAATTCCCCCAGGTGGTTGTCCGAAAATCTGGCTGGCGTTCGTGTTTTCCAGCGCTGATGTCATGTGTTGTTGTTGTTCAGTACTGCCCTGGAATCCTACGATTCCAGGCTGCACTGTTACGAACTTCACATTCTCGGGGACTAGTCCGCTTGCCCTAAGGTGCTCCTCTAACCGGACGTACACATCCGACTTGGTCCCGGATGCGCTGAGGCCGCGGGCCGTGCACTCGCTACGTAGCTCCGCCGACGACAACTGCTATAACGTTTTTTCCGACATTGTGTAAAATTGTTTACCGATGTGGTCGTTACGCTGTTGTATGGTCAGTGGATTGTGCTTGTTGCGCGGTGTGCACGGTTTTGAGGAGGCTTTCTGTTTTTTCGATAAATTTCTCGCGCTAGCTACGACAATTTATATATTTATTATTTATGATTGTGTAACAGATCAGCTGACGACAGTGCCGCCGTTGCGTACCAAAAATAGTGGTACTGGGTCAACGACCTCGGTGGTGGCAGCTGTCGGCTGCGGCGGCTGAACCGGTTTTTGGCCTGCGCGCTCTGTTTTTATCGGCGATAATGTCGCGGTGCGAAAGGTAGGCGTTGCGGAGGGGTGGTGGTTGTTATATAACTACTTCCCAATCCGTATCACGGTTATGCACGGCTGCGTGGATTTCCCTGTTACGTACTAAAAATAATTGTTACGTAATGTTCTCTATGGGGTCCTAGCTAACTGGCAAACACACTCCTGGTCGAATAACTTATTACTAATTAAATATAAGCAGTTAATCCGAGGTATGTGTCAGCGTGAAAACTCTTACCTTGTCGCTGAATTGAGGAGATTCCTCTGCGGGGAGCCAATTTGACGCGGCTACGGCGGTGTTGGAGTAGCGTCCGTGGTGAGCCGGTCGCAACGTGATGGTGAGGAGTGGCGAAGAACAAAAGCAATGCGTCTGTGGTTTGATGATGGTTTGTTTTATTTTTCACACTCACTATTTACCTTGCAAGAAGCGTGGTAATACAAATATACATAAAACGAATATCGACGGTATCGAGGGTCGCGGTGTGTGTCGATGAACGTCGAAAACGTTGACGGTCGTGTTGTAGGTAAAACCGTGGTGTGTGTCGGACGGTTGTCGAACAAGAGAGAGAATTGCCGGCGGCCGGTACTCGTATTACGCGACTTGCCTTCCCGTCCCGCCTTGTGCCTTTGTGGCGTGGTGGGAGAGTTGGCGATGTCGCGCTGTAGCCCGTGGTGGCGGTTGACAAAAGCGTAGACCGGCCGCTGCGGTACCTGTACTTTGTACTGGTTGCCGCTGCGTACCGTGTCACAGTATCACAATGTAACTTTGATAATAAACATCGAATCGATATAAAAATCGATAATACTGATATCGATGGCGATAATATCCATAATTCACTATCGTTTTTGCCCCACCTGCAAATGGCTGCCAGCTTCAAAATGTTATTAAGCCGGTATACAGAGTTTGCGATCTAGGTGTTTATTATATCTAGGATTAAAGACAATAATATAACAGGCACGGATCCAGATCGAAGATAATGTGGGGGGAGAGCAAAAATTTTTTTACAACCCGAAGACAATTACAAGTAGTAATTACAATTTATCTACACTTTGTTCTAAATTTAAAATGTTTTCCCAATAGTAGTATTACTTTAATGTAAAAAACCAATCCACCATAGCTAAGGTATAAAATAATAAAATTCTAACGGTTTTTCATATTGTCGATTTTTCTTAAAATGTCAATTATTAGGATTGATTGGATACGTGCCTGATAATGATCCATCGTTTCCATCGTCATCCATCGTTATTAAGTTAAATATTAGGAATAATATTATATTGTTATTATTTTATTGTACCTATTCTATATATTTTAGAATAATCGGAATAATTTCGGTTCAAATTATTTCGAAAAAGTACCTATAAACAGCTGATATAATAATTATAGTATAACGAATAACGATATGTCCACCGCTTTCCTTTTATTCAAATATAATTTATAATATAATCTTATCTTAATTCATCCCTCTTCCTTCTAAGAGCTTTATTATTTAAAAGGTACATTTAAATATTATATTATTCGTATTGTATTATATTATACAAATTACAAGTTCAAGGAATGAATATTTAATTATTAGAAGCGGCAGTATGAATCACACGTTTTTGGCGGCGAATTTTTCGGTGTTCGGTCGGTACATGCTCTTACTTATGTTGTGTATTTTACAAATGTATAATATATTATTATATGATACGGTATTTTACACGTTTTACAGAATCGTTTTATCAGTACAATTTAATTTTTAAATAATATAGATAGGTAAATAAACATATAAAATTATATTAAATTTAGGTAGGTACAATACAAATACATTTACATAATGATTTATACTTCGATATTTCAGATATGTCACAATATCAAATATGTCACAATTTATTTAAAAATTAAAATGACAAAACCATATTTTATTATTGGATGGTTTTTTTGGACGTTCTTTAGGGACTATGCTTAGATCATATAGAATATAGTAACATCGTATTATTTTATTGCTGATATTAGTTACAAGTCTCTAAACTAGGTGATCGATACAAATCGTTGTATCTTTATTCATAGATTACTACCACAATTCACAAAATTATTGTAAATCTTAGATACTATCTTAGTTCGTAGTTATACTTATTATTATATTTCAGTTAGAAATTCATAAGAGATTTTCTTTGCATAGCTAATATTAGACATTTTAATAGAAGAAACTCAACAAGTTTTGTTACTTTTGCCTCTCCTCATCATACAAAACTCCTTTCTACGTCACTGATGCTCCGGATAATAGAATTCGTAAACATTAATATCGATCCCAGAATCCAGATCTAATACTATAACATTTAACATAAGACATTTGTTATTTCAGAAAACCTCTTACAAATGTAAAACATAGCAAAAACTGTTTTGCGTGGTTAAGAACCACTCAGGCTGTAGTCCAATCTAATCAACCGAACTTCAAACTATAAAGAGGAGAACATATTTTAATGTCCAACGTTGTTTTAATTTTTTTGATAGGTATCAGAACTAAAAATAAAGTTATTCAAATTTGAAAAAAATAAGAATTTTTTTCATATTTGTTGTATAGAAAAAATCAAAATACAATTTCACAATCCATGTTCTTTTCTTTCTAGTGATTGGTTGCTTAATATGTACTTGATTCTGAGTAGTTCTGACCAGCGAAAACAATTTTTTCTATGTTTTATATTTGTATGACAGACGACACATGCGTCTCTTAACGTTTTTAAAAATATTTCTTTTATATTATAATTTTTAGTCATCACATAACATTCTTGTGCATTATAGGTACCTACTGCTCGTCTGTACCTTGTCTCATTTTACTATTTGTTCGTATGTGATTGGATATAAAATGTACATAAGTTGTATTAAAACTGGGTACTTTTCAATATTTTTGATTTTTATGCAAATGCAGTGCAGGATATAACCGAATCATATTAATATTGTCTATTCAATTTTGAGATTGAGTATTGATCTTTTAAAAGATTCTATATTATAATAATTTGTTGAATTTTATTTACAATAATTATAATTTGTTTTATTTAGTTTTTCACCAAAAGAGTACATTGAATACATAAACTCAAGACGATGAGTGAGAGAAATTCAAAAAGGATACGCGACAAACATAATGAAGAGGAACGCAAAAGACGTGATCTGATCAAACACTGCTTTGCAAATCTTAAAGATGCTGTTCCAACACTACGAGATGAAAAACCTGTTAGCCGTGCCAAGATATTAAGAAAAGCAGCTGAATACATACAACATATGAAAGCAAAGAATAAAGGCCATCAAGAAGACATTGATAGCCTCAATCGGAAGAATGCTATGTTGGTATATCAGATCAACCAGTTACAGAGAATTAAAGATACTAGAACATTTACTGAGCAGCATAGTAATTTAGCTAATTTAGTCGTATCAGAAACAGACAATTCTGATGCATCAGAAGAAGATCTTCAAAAATCTAACAGGACCAAGGAAAAAAAAGTTTTGTGATTAGATTTAAATTATTACTAAATCGAGTGGCACATATTAAATGCCTAATTTTTTGGCTACTTTTTATTCATTATGTACAAGATAGGTAACTGTAGTATTTAGAATTATTACCTAGTAGTATTATTATTTGGTAAAAATGTTTAAATTTACATTTTAAAGAAAATCATGATTTTGTTTGTTATACCTATATTATTATTTTGTATGAAACAAAGTCTTGAAAATATTTTTAGTTTATGGTGAACAAAATAAAAAATAATTATTTATAAATTGATTTAATTGCCTTTGTTAAATTAATTTTATAAAAAATGTATAAATAAAATATGTACATCCATAAATTAGGCAGGTACAAACATGCACTGTACTGATGTACCTACATAATTTCTGAATTTGATAATATACTTATTTTAAATACACGATTGTTGAATTAAAAAAAATAATAGCCCCGAAATTCAATTTGTATAAACAAAAAATAAACGGCTTCAATTACCTATTGAGTATTTATTAGTTGAAATTTCATATTTTTTTATTAAATTAAAATATTAAATGTAATTTCTGATTATAAATTAATTTATTTCATAAAAAAAATTGTAATTATACTATAGGTAAATTGAATGGTAATGGCCATGGTTTGAATTCATTTTTTTTCTTCATAAAACAAAGTAGCCATTTAGAATGTAAATGTGTAATATTATGAAATAAAAAACATTTTTGTTCCCTTTTGTATTTTATACATTTATTTATTTAAACACTAGGATAATTTAGGCAATTGATATCGTTCGTCAAACGATACAACATTCAAAACATTGGGCCTCTGAAAATATACTAAAAGAGTAGCAGTAAATCAGTGTATTTGTGCATCACTTCCAAATTCAACTTCACCTGCACATAGTACTTGATATACTGATACTTTTTCTGGCAGTTGAATTTCGAGACTATTAATGTCAATGCTAAAGATTAGATGAGTTGTTGTAGCCATTGTTAACATATCTTGTTGAATTGATGATTGGCTTAGGTACCATACGGTTGCCCAGCACAACAAAATATTTACCATTTTCTGTTAACAATGTGTGGTGTATATGACGGTTTTTATCGTAGCTTTTAAAAAAGTGTTTTACAAATTTAAATACAGTAGATTTTTAATTTCCTAAATTGTCATTCCTGCTATAACAGATAAAACAAAATGGTAAAATACAATGTAACAGTTGTAAAACTAAAATATTTTTAAATCATATATTTGTGATTGCTCTTTTGATAAATTTTAGTTGGAAGGTTGTTGGATAAGTATAAAACAAGTGATAACAAATTTACAACTAAAATGTACTGCTAAATTAACAGTTGAAATGAAAAATAATAAAAGTATAATATTAATAAGCTACATTGAACACTTTTTAACTACAAGTATTGGTACCATAAATATTGACTTTAGATTATAATTAAAAATACATTTTAGAAGACTAGAATAAAAAATTGTACATAACTGCTGTTAAAAATGTACTGTACATAGCAATAAAAACCATGAAATACAAAAAAAACACTAATATAGGTACCTAATCATTATAAAACGTCCACAAGATACAAGCAATTGGACATTATTGTTAACAGTTTTAACAGTTGTGTAGCTGCTTATACAAGAGTACAAGACTACTTATGTTATAACAGCAAAGAAGCCATAAGTACCTGAATGAATCAAAATAATTTGGTCAAATCTATCTTTAGATCTTTTGACGATTGTGAATAAAACTTTTCTTTGTTGTAGATACGCATTAGTATCACTATCTGAAACCAAATTGAAATTTGGATATTTAGCATAGAATTCTGTGTCTTTAATGCGTATCTTGGTACCTAACACTATAGATACCTACATTAAAAAGAATGCTAGTAAATATTATGAACTAACTTAATTTATGATATGAATTTAATTTATGACATTTCTAAAAACAATTTGAAATTTTCATAAAATTGGTTAAATAGTTTTTGAGTGTATAAGTTACAAACATACAGTCAACTCTCATATGGTGTATGGTTTTACTATTGGCTTCATAATTAATTAGGTAATCTGTAATTGATTCAAAAGAAAATAGATTCACCTAATGATAAGAACAATTTTAGATGCCTGACCGAAACAACTGAAATGACTGTGTTGCATAAACCAGCTCATAGGCGTGTCTACGGTGGTAGCCTAGGGTGCCTGGGCTGCCCCTGCAATTTTTGAAAGGTGCTGGTCAACCGAGTTTTAAGTCAGAAAAGTTACGACATTTTTTTTTTTTTTTAAACTTGATTTTTTTTGTGGGTAGGTATCGTTATAATTACCATTTACTTACAAAGATTGATTTCCTGACTTTCGAAATAGGAAAAACCTGCTATAAAGATATGAGACAGACGACAACGGGACAGTACGCATCTAGGTATTATTGATATTATTGTTGTATTATATCAAATATAATTTGATTTGTAGCTAGGCGGTGTAATCCGATGCTGTAGATGAATAATATTTCTGAAGTTACTGTAGATTATTATTGTAAATAGATAATTTAGACTTTTTTAAAATTATATAAATATTTGATTGTGGAGGGGGGGCTTAAAAAAAATATGGCTTTGGGTATATAGGGCTTTTTTTGTCCACTAATAAGATAGCGCCGATTATTAGCTAGGCTGCCCTTGCCGATGAAGTCTAGTCATGATTATGAACCAGCTTACACGGAGAGTGACAGGAATAGATGATGGTAGTTGTAATAATGATTGACAATTGTTGTTGTAAAATTATGTTTTATTAAAATGCAAGATAAATGTTCCAAGACAATTTTTTCATCCTTTTATTATATATTTTCTTTTTTTGTGTTAGTTATATGATAATATGTTATTCGGTATCATTAATTAATTAATTTCTTAATACAATAATAAAATGGAACAAAATCTTCTTTTTTTTGTGTTATAGTGGGTTGTCATAATACAACAGATATTTTATAAATAATTATTGTTATTTTAGTTATTTTCATATTATATTTATATTAATTATTCACTATTATATATATATATATATATATTAGGTATACTATATTATTATTTATTTTGTATTTTTGGTTTCTTTTCTTTTTTTTTTGTTTTACTTTGATTATAATGTATATTAATACATGTGTTAATCATAATTTTTCATAATTAGATGGTCGACTGTCTCCTAGTGTGAACTATGACTCAGTGCTGCAGATGTGCCTCTGGTCAATGTGGGGTATCATTTTAATAAGCGAGCATGCCCGCGGCCGTCTTGGCGTAATGCCGAGATCTAATTCTTAGAATTTACTAAGCGTCGAGGAGTTCTCATGGATATTTTACGAAGCGGCTGAGGCTGGCGTTTAACGACTATAATATTGTTCTCCCAGGGTCCGTGTGTACTGCCGACATTATCTCACTATCCATGTGATTACCGTAGTACAATGGATAATGGATATTGTGTAATATAACTATGTGTAGGGGCGGAGTAGAGGGGTCCGTACGTAGCAATAGAATTATGTATTTATGTACAGACAATTCAATTTTTTCCACTACATAATATTATATTATAATAATAAATGTTTGGCATCATATACAACAACAAAACATGTTAACTTTCTTATAAATATTGAGAGTATTTATTTACAAAACCTATAAGCTTATATTTTATCCATGAATATACCATATTATCTTAATTTGTGGTAGACACTCGGCGTCGTATGTTGACGGATTTTAAGGCTTTAACTGACCTGCCAGGACCGCTAAGAACTCCGATTCTGTAAATAATTATATTTATTATTTAGTGGTATACGCATCAATAGTTTTGGAACGAATGTAGTTTACTTCCCAAATGATTTTTTGGAACTTTTTTTTTTGGAAATGTTGGTATTTTTATGCTCAACGTTTTGGTGAAATTAGAATTTACCTATCTTATTTACATTTTTTGTTAAGTGTTAAATTCTGATTTCATCAACGCGTTGAGGAAAAAATATCAACATTTCATAAAAAAAATTCAATAAAATGAGCGTCTAGCAATCCGTCACTAATGACTCACTGATGTTGCAAAGTGTCTATCTATCATTCATCACCGGTATAAGGTGGTAACCAACTGAGAAATTTACATTAAGCACCGATATATTTTTTATACTGTGAGAAATAATCTAAATGATATAATTAGTGAGTAGTTTGTAGTAACATGTTTTGGATATCTATTGACGCCTATACTCCGCATATCGTCAACAAAAATATTATATAATAGCCAGCAATAGGTATTAGATAAGGCCTACTATCGCAGTGAGAAAACCAAATGCGCGAGGTATATTCATAGATAATATTATATAGAGGATAGGCTATTCCAATACCTACAACCCATGGGTTCGCGTGCCGGAAGAGCCCCAGACTAACATTGGTTATGGTAACCTAGTTATCAATGGTTACGTTATCCTGTTATCTTGTCAATGTATTTGAATTAGGAGTACGAAATGACAAAATTTGAATTATTAAACATTTTACTGAGTAGTGAGTACACTATTCAATTTTATTAACTTTTGTGGCAGGTACAGTACAATTTATAATAAATGGTATGATCGCAAAAGGTATTGTCATTAAATTATTACTACTATATATAATACAGTATGTTACGACACGTACCGATCGTCAAAAAATTATGAACATACATTTTTGTTTAAATCATGGTAAGTAATAGGTACAATATTTACGTATATTTTAAATAGTAAAATTCATAATAACAGGCAAGAAGTTTGAATATTCAAAATGACAATTTAAAACATAGATAATTTATATTATCTATGATTTAAAAAGACGCGAAATTTAAATGATTGATAAACGAAAAGTGATAACCGTTGAACCACATTGGACCATCATACTACCACCCTGGTTTCTTGGGTGCTCTCTGGACACGCAAATATTTGTTGAATGGCCTATCCTCTATATATTATCTATGGGTATATTACATAACATATAAATTATAATATGATAATGAATACCGTATC